AACCAGCTCCCATTGACATAATCTGCAACGAGATTGAAATAATACCATGTTATACTTGAATATCCAATTTCTTAGACATTAACATGAAAGATGAATAAACTAAGGAGTGATAGAATAAGTTTACCTGTACCTGGAGCTGAAGTGTCTTCAAATATTCAATAGCCTCATCGAGCATTGAAGCTTTGTCCACCTTATTTTCCATAAAGAAATGTCAGCATAACCAAATTACAGAAGAAGATATTAACAAAAAACAGGTTATGCTTAAACTTCCATGACTATCAGTACCATTCATTATAACAAACAACTAACAAAGTTTCAGAAAGAAAGAAAAAAAAGTTTGAAAGACTGGACGTACATTTCAGATTTTAATTGATAGGCTTCCCTAGACATGGATACTATTTTAAAAATCGTTTTCACTTCCAAAAGTGTTCAAATTAGGTCATTGATTAACACCAAAACTGTAAACTTCTAAAGTCCATCAAACATCACAAGCAAATATCTGGCAAGACTAAAAAACTTTCAGGGAAAAAAATCCAACCTTATTGCAATTGGGTATGAGTTCTTGTAAAGCACGCATCTTCTCATTGATTCTATCCCTTCGCCTCTGTTCACAGAAATCCAGAACGAGTACAATTAAATAATCTTAGAGTTTACAAACAGCACTATGGAAAGAGCTAACATGTTCTCTGTCATGAATACTATTGATGATTGGTTTTGCTCACCCTTTCTGATAAATTATGCACTTCTGCTGCTCTGCTTCTCTTGGAACCCATGCCCCGAGCATGAGCTATTTTTTTCACACCCACAGATTCTTCCTCCACATCCTGCACATGAGGAGGTTTTCTTGGTTTATGGAGGGAAAGGAAACAGTAAGGAACTCCAAGAAATATTGACTACCAACTTTCAACTTACGTCACTATGGCATTCAGACTCGTCAGTATCACGAGATTTTCTCTTCAAAGCATGTGTTGGGTCATCTGAAGCTCTCTCTACACTATTGCCTGAGCAAACAGATGAAGCAACAACAGGCTCCAAAGTTTTTTCACCATCCCGAAGTACCCTATTTGCACTTTCACAAGGAATATGATTGGTGTTTGTGTCATTCTTAGAGGCATCCTCTTGGCATGCCGCCTCAGACTGTTTAGCAGCACATGATTCCTCAAGAGGCTTAGCTTCTGTTGGTTTCAATTCAACATTGGATGTCACTGTAATATGTTGGCATTGTGAATTTGACTCCTTTGGTAAACCGCTGCTTGAATCGATTAGAGTTGACTCAGGAGGTTTGTTACTAGTTGCAGCTGAAACCTTGCCCTTATTTCCAATCCTTTCCATGCTTGATAAACCTGAGCCAGCCACCACACCAATGCTCTGAAGATTAGATTTCACAAGAGCAGCTGGTCGTGAGAAATGGGAAAAGTTCACTACGGATGAATTATTATTACTAGGCATTACTGGATCTTGCCTCTGCATTTTTATGCCAGGAAAAACACCTGCAGATGAAACCTCAGTTGAATTCTTGCAAACAGTAGGATGGGTGGCACTACCCGTATTATCACCAACAATATCCGAAACCCTTGATCTGAAAGATGGAAATAATGATTGGGATTGCTGTGATGATAATGGGTACAATTGACTGGTACCAGTTTTAGGTCTGCTAACATCATCACCATCTACTGAAGTAACCTTTGGCGCATTCCTTTGCTCCAAATAAGCACCTTCATGTGCAGAGTTGGTATTGGAGTCCCTATATACCTGACTAGAACTACTCCTTTTATCCACTGAGGCAAGATTGCTATTGCTGGAAATCTCATTTGCAGTGACAGTGGATAATTCAGGCAAAAATTCATGACAGTATTCATGATGTAAAGGTTCATCAATGGAATAGTTCAACCAAGGCAATATTTCATCATCTTCACTCAAACCCATTTCGGAAGATGGCACCGACAACGGAATTTCATCCAATACAGACTCCACCGATCCAAACTTCCCTGTCTTCGCAATGTTGCCATTTCCTACATCTTTATCTCGATTCTTGGGGGTGTAAGATGGTAAGCTATTATTACAAGTTGGACTCTTTCTAGTTCTACTAGACTGGCCTTGCATCATAATTTGACCATTTTCCCATACTAGCTCAACAAAGTCATTTACAGGTCTGCATTAAATCCCACAAGGTGGAAAAGTGGGGAAAAGAAGAAAAATTTCCGCAAATGTTAAATGGGAAAACAGAACACATCTCAATGACACCAAAAAAAAAAAAAAAAAAGAGAGGTAAGAGTGCAAAGATGGTAAAAATGTGGAACAGAACTTACTCAAAATCTTGACTTGAATCAACCCTCCCGGCCATCCGATAAAGCTCGGACAAAGGCATGGTGAGGAGCTGTAAAGCACTGTGTTATTCTGAATTGCCACAAAGCTTCAAGAACATAGCCATTATTGGTAGCTTCTACACAGTAGGCTTGATCTAGGTGTCGAGTTCAAAGCACCATAAATAAGTATATATTATGTATATATATAGAATGCCAAGAGGCAAGAGTGTTTGAAGACGTAAACTCCCAACCAAAACCCCACTATAAGACAGTCCCAGTTCAACTTATAGTGGAGGAAAAAAAAAAATTATATTCCTTGCAGTTATAATTTACAGAATAAAATCTTTCTTTAAATACTAAAGTCTCTATCAGTAAGTAAAATAAAATATACAACTTAGTTTTAAAAACATAAAAGTGAGCAGTCAAAGTAGTTCTTTAATGGCTGCCAAAGATCCCTAAAAAACCTCTAATTTGAGCTCCTTTGAGTTAAAAATTAGTTCTTTTCACTTTTTTTAGTCATTAAACGAAAAACCCAGAAAAGAGATTACATCTCCTTAAATTAATCAACAATCTTAAGCAAAACCCCAACTACCCAACAATCTAAACTTGAAGAACAGCTGAAAATCTGCACTACCCACTAATACCCATCTAGAAATATAATCATATACACGTAGGGCATTAACAAAAGGGATACAAGAAACTTGATTTTGGGGAAATCAGAGTTCCTCGAACTAGTCAAATTACACCAATCCACATGGTAAATCAGAAAAAGCTCTTAAGAGTTAGTAAAACTGAGCTCGAACAAAGAGAACCCATGATTTCACACAGAGAGAGAGAGAGAGAGAGAGAGAGAGAGAGAGAGAGAATCCACGTGGACGGTGGACGTAGAAGGCGGCGAAAGGCTTGCAGACTTGCAGGGGGACCAATGCGCAGAGAGAGAAAAAGAGAGAGGGAGAGAGAGAG